TTAGATACCAGTGATCCGAACAATCAATGTTGTAATGCAGCCCTGAACATACATCATCATCATCGTTACATGGTGTGAATGGGCCTGGCGCTTCACACAGGAAGACAGCGCCAGCCCGTACCATACACAGACGAAGAGGAAGGGGATAGACGAAGAGGAGGGGAAGATGGGAATGTCGTCAACACCAAGTCTTGGGCACAAGCCCAAATAGTCCCTCGTCGAAATGTCTGAATCCCAAGTGTCAAGTCTGGATCCAATGTCGTCAAGTCTCGAGTCACAACTCTGTCTCTCTCTGTCGTAGTCTGAGAAGTCAGGTGGCAAGAGGGTGAGAAGAGAAGGTGGACTTAGAAGAGGAAGAAGAAGAACTCTCTCTCTCTGTGTGTCCAGTACTAACCTGTGAAGTTGGCGCCTTGATGCAGGTACCACGAAGATGGAGCTGGAGCGATGGCGCCACAGGTAAGTAACACTGGCCTCCGCCAGTCTCTCTCCCACTCTACGATCTACCACCTACCAGCGCCCAGTGCTGAAGACTACAGCTACAGCTATGGCGCCCAGCGCCGAAGACTACAGCTAGCGCTACTACTACTGCCTAGCGCTGAAGACTACTGCAGCGCTCCTCCTGAGTGCTGCGGCTGAATCCTGAAGACTACTCGTCCTACTGAACACTACCTACCCGTGAAGTGCATGGGAACCTCCTATATACTACGGGTGTGCCTCTTGAGCCTGCCGAAGGGAGGCAGGGGCTGCAGCTGCAGCTCCTGCTCGAGTACGTGAGGAACAGGCTATTTTGGGCCTGTTCCACATCCCTGTTTCCGTRCCTGAGTCTTAGGGGCAGGTCGAAACAATGAGGGCCTGAAAATGGCCCTCCGGTTCAGGCTGAAAACTCTGGGTCTGAAAAGACCCAGAAATAGGCTGAAACGAGGTAGGGCCTGCAGGCCCTCGTTTTTCAGCATCCAGGCTGAAACGAACGGGGCCTGTAAGCCCTAAGTTTTAGGCTTTTAGGCTGAATGTCCGGGACGGGCCCTGCAGGGCCCGTGTGGCTACGCAGTATGCCACAGAGAGGGAGAGGGAGATGCTTCAAAATGGGGGAGGAGAGCAGGTAGGAGGACAGCAGCAGCAGCACCACCACCACCACCACCAATGGCAGGAGTAATAGGTGTAGGACTAGGTGTTGGCAGGTGAGGGTATGCGCTTTTGTGGAAAAGGTGGGAAAGGGGGTCCCCAGGGGGAGGGGACGGGAGGGGGAAGGAGGGACAGAGTGGGGGGGAGGGGGTTGTTGCAGTGTCTCTTTATGAATTTTCCTATTTTTTTCACAGCCCAAGTCGACCACGTGACGATGCAGCGTAACGGGCTCAGGCAGGGCCTCAACTCACAAAACTTTGGACCCTTTCTCGATTTACGCGTGTCACCTTTGCGCAGGGGCCATGCTAATCGCCTCTGTATCGTTCCAATCCTTTTAACGGATGTCATGAAGGACTCTTTCCGAAATTTCCTGAGGAGGGGCAGCATTGCAATTTACCAATTTTAGTATTATTTTACCCTATAGTTTTGTTTTAAAAAATCCTTCTGACAGTGAGATCGTGGGTTGACCCACCCTCGGTCCCAGCCCCGCCACTTGCACCCTTGGTCCGGGCCGCTGGGGACCTTGGTGGGTTACCCTCCAAGGTCCCTAGCGGCCCGTTCCCCCGGACCTGTCGGTCAAATGTGGCCACCAATTCATGTCTCGCTTCTCCGGGTCTTGCTTTTTTTTTTTGGGGGGGGGGTGGTGGTTGACGACGCTACAGCAGAGGCTCTAGCAGGGTTTAGGGTTTTGGCGATTGATCAGTCTCTTCCTATCTACTTCCCCCGAATACAACGTACGGTCATTATAGCTGTATCTAGACTGAAAGATACCGCATATACAGCTATAATGACCGTACGTTGTATTCGGGGGAAGAAGGTAGGGGTTGAGGATTGATCAGTATCTTCCTAGGGGTTGAGGAGCGGGGGTGACGACGCTACATATGTGAAAAAAAAAAAGGGGGCGGGGAAGGATTTGGTTGCAGATTGAAAGCAAGTACGGTTACCTTTTCCACTTTCAGTCCAAAGATGAGGCTGTAGCAGGGTTTAGGGTTTTAGCGATGTGTTTTTTTTTTTTTTTTTCAGGGGTACACAATGAGGCTAGCTTAGGCAGGGGCAAGGGGTGGTACATCCTTGCTCAGGGAAGTAATCAATGCCTAAGCTACTTGGGCCCCCCAGCCATGATGGGGAGCAGCGTGGGCGAGTGCACTGTTGTGTGTTCCTTTGACTTGCCAGTGGAAACAGTAACGGACTGGAACCGTCAGGTTCTGTTTTTTTTTTTTTATATATATTTTTTTGTTGGGTTTACATTCTGACAAAGCAAGAAAAACAAATCATACTTTATAAAGTTTAAACTTCGAAAGTATCAAAAGCATTTCAAATTTCAATTCAATGGTTGCATGACAAGTTGACAATTGCCTTTTTTATGCAGGTGGGAGACGGATGGACCCTTGATGGAAATGGCACGATCAGCAGCAGCAGTAAGTAAACCCCGCCCTCCCGTCCTCCTCCTCCTCCTCCTGCCGCTGTTGCTGCTGCAGCTGCTGTATGTCGCATGTTTCAGCATGCGAAAATCCCATGTGCATCATGTTTTTTCACTGTTTTGTTTTGTTTTGTTTTTAAAGTTTAAAGTTTAAACCGCTTGCACCCCGCCGCTCTCGGTTGGCCTGTTTTTAAACCCCTTGCACCCCGCAGCTTTCGGTTGCCCTAAAAGAAGCATGTGGAATTGGGTATGATTCAGGTGCGACCAAGGGATTGGTCGTTATTAACTTATTAGCTTTCCAGAATTAGAATAAAAATCTGAATACGGACGCCGCCCGGTTTGCCCGAACCGGGCGGGCAAAAAAACAGCCCAGAATTTTTTATTTTTTATTTTTGAAGGTGGGGTCCTCCTGTGCTCGGCGAGAGGACCCCGAATCTGCAATAAAATTCTGGTTTGGGGGGGGGACGGGTTGTCTGGGTGTG